GGGGGGGGGGGGGGGGGGGGGGGGGGGGGGGGGGGGGGGGGGGGGGGGCTCCGCATCATGTTTGTTGTTTGCTTGTGCGGTGGTCACACATGCTGCACGCGTTCTGTGACAACTGCCTCCTGGGGCCGTATGTAGGCGTGGTGACAGCTGTAGGCAGGCGAGCGACACAACGGCGGCGAGGGTCTACCTGATGTCTTCGCAGACACGCCACGTCTCCTACATCTCCTCAGCAGCGGAGAAGCCAAACCTACCGCTTACGGTAAAAAACACATACACACACACTCACACACACCTCTAGCGCACCAAAACCAAACTCTGTCCGACGTCGCCGTGACAAGACGAGACCCGTAAGCAATACTGTAAGGTTGGATAATAATATATCAAAGACCCACCCTTCCACTACCACACACAAGGTACGGTACTACATAAACATAACGAAGACCCAATTACCACGTACGGCACCCAAACACACCTGGCCGATGTCCGTGAAGACGAGCGCCTTGGTGGACTTGGTGTGTCGCTTGATGGTGATAACCTCGTCATGTCGCATCACGTCCCGGAACTGCCGGTTGATCTCCAGGTGGCTCAGGTCCACAGTCTTCTTGCCCACGAACGCGAAGTAGTGGTCCGTGATGTAGAAGGTTCCCTGGATGCGCACCTCCTAATTTTCGTTTTTTGTTCGATATAGAGAAAGATGAACAAACACGAGGGGGCAGCTAAAAATGAGGAGGAATTATAGCGGAAAGGGTGCATAAATAGTTCGCACACCGCGAGCGAAAAGGGGGAATGCTACTCGTCGCATTTCTACGTTGTGTTTAAACGTCTCTTGCCCAGAACCAAAAATAAAAAACAGACGACAGTCCTTTCCCAAATCCTAAAATTAACAGGCCGCCAACAACACATATGTCTAGGTGCACGTAACCCCGAGGTGAAAAATGTTGCAAATGGTACAACGCCTTGTTTTCCTCCTGGTAGGTGTATAAAGGTGCACATAACCCCATGGCTTGATATTTTGCGATGGTACCATACCTTCTTTTCCTCCTGGCCGAACTAGGCGTACAGAGTCCCATAACCCCACGGCGAAACATACTTCTGTAATGCTACCCATGGTAATGGGCAGATCACAACACTTTTTTTCCTCCTGGTTTCAAGTAGGTGTATAGACTTGAGGCGCACCGCCCCGCGGTTAAATCACAACACCTTCGTTTTCTGCTGGTCCCAAAAATAGGTGAATTGAGGTGCACAAAGCATGGCGGATCATTGCACAATGCTTACCTTCTTCTCCTCCTGGTCGAAGTAAGTGTAGCGGGTCTTGGTAAACTCTCCAAGGATGGTCTCCGCAGCAGAGAAGCTGAACATGTTGCGAACAGCCTGCGAGGTCACCGGACAACAAAAAGTGGCAAGACCGGAGAGAGAGAGGGAGAGACAGACAGACAGACAGACAGATAAAAAGAGAAGATCACGCTCGTGCGCACTTGGACGCCCCATCATGTATGCACGAGAAAACGCCATAAAGTAAAATGGACCGCCTTCGCGATAAATCAAGTCAATAGGGAAATAGGACAGAGAGGGGATACGCAGACCGTATCCCTAACCCTACCCTCTTCCATCCCGATGAAATCATGCGAGGGCACTCCTCCCCCCCGACAGTCGACGGTGATTTCTGATTTCATCATAGGAAGGATAAGGATTTGTACACGACTGCTGTTGTGCCTGCTCTCCCCGCTCTCAACTGCAGCACCAACGGCCGACATACTCCGCCCTCTGCTACATCAGCACTACTGCCAGACGATCGGCACCTATCCGCGCTTCCGCCGGCGTAAATGAACAATGGTGGCGGCCACGCATGCTCAGATAGAGCCCATTGGGCAGCGCGGTGTGGCGAGGGACACAGCATGGCGCAAACAGCGCCCAACCGTCCTGACGTGACGCGTGGGCAATTTCTTTCATGAATCGCAGGTCTCACAGCATTCTACTGTAGAATGTTCCGATTTCCTCCCCTCGTCCACCGCCCTATCTATTATGGTCCTGTGAAAGACGCCTTAACTATCGTTAGAAGATTTTCTTGTCAACTGCGTCACAAGAACCAACACCTCGACTCCGCTCTCTGTTGCTGCTGCTGCTACTGCTGAAGCAAAAAGGTTCATTAACATCTTTATTTTCTTTCATGTATATAACACGTGTTGCCGCCTTTGGGAAATTGAAAAAAATGTTGACAAACAATCACGCCGCTGGTTTCAACGGGGTCAATTTTGTTTCATCCCCTCCCCAGACTGGACATGACTGAGCCCAGTTCTTTCACCACCTCGTGCTCTTCACACAGACCTCGGCGTGCCACCAAAGTACACGGGCACCTCAAGCAGGTCATACCCTCCACCGGGAAGCTGTTCTGCACTTTGATTTTGCGTTGGACGCGAGAAATGCCTCATGATCACATCTGAGTTGAACCAGCTTTCCGCTTCTGCGCGCAACCTTTTCAGCTCTTGTGAGGCAACTTCAATACTTCAATACTGTACAGTCCCCCGATTCGGCCGATACTTGGCCGAGAGATACAAGACCACACAGAACGAATACATAATGTGCACAATTAGGGATCTCCACTGCGGCGTCCGCGGTTGGCCTGCGAAAGTCGGCCCAAACTCAGGTCTAAACTCCACTATTAGTCAGCTGAGAGGCCTCCAGAACGATCATGCGTCTACCTCCGAAAACGTGATAGAAATCCAAGCCATGGAAGCACGCAGCGGACCTAAAACGCGTTTGCTGAATACCTATGCATAACCTTGACCAAATCAGACAAAAATTGGCGTGTGTGTGCGTCTGTACATGTGGGCAACGCATAGATGATGTGCACGATTTGGGACCAGCACCACAGCGAGAGTTGTGGAAGAATAACTAAAAAGTCTCTCGCGGCAAGACTGCCTTGGGATGTAATCCCAGGATATGTCTGAAAAAGAAAATATATATGTGGCAAGCTTTGCATGAGCGGCAACACGTGCGATATTTTTGGTATTTTCAACCAATCAATTCATCATCGTGTGAGACAGTGCGTAGCCAGGGACCTCGGGTGCCCCAGGTCTAGTTTTACTACTGTACAGCTGTTGTACTTTCACATACGGGGGGGATCGGGCCATGGCGGGTGCGTTTCTAGACTTTGTAGCGTTTCCATCAACAGCCAAGAATCCCATCTGCCATCACGTATTTTCATTTTTTCTGCATGTGCGTTCACTTCAACCCATCATCAGAGAGATATTCCAACGCCAAGAAGAAGGGCACATCGCCAAAGGCTCTCACGACTCATAGTTGGGTATGACAGCTGTTACTGCTGTGCTTTGACCCAACGGGGGATTGGGCCATGGCGGGTGGTTTTCTACGGATGTGCGAGAACGTGGGTATACTTCAGCCGCGGTGTATGCGTGGGTGCATATACATCTTGTGAGGGCACCAATAACGTCCCGGACCAAACAGGGAGCAAGGAGCAGGGAACTCGGAATTCCCTGTTCCCTGTTCCCCGTCGTTGAGTCTTAACGTTAGTACGTAAGTACACCACGTTTCCACGGAACATGTCTCCACAATAGTCCGTCCGACTGTGGGCATATCGGTATATCTCGAACGGGTAGCCTTTCCGTGTTTGTATTTATTTTTCCTAATGCTAGCGTGCGTCTGCGACCCGCAGCACGCGGCAGGTACTCGGAGGAAACAAGGCAACCGAAACCGACAAAGGCAGAAAGAGTAAGGTGGTTTGTACAGGAAAAAGGAGTGATGGTGTGGGTTGTGAAGGAAGCTGTTGACGAGAGCAGCACACCATTCACATGTAGTGCCACGCATCAGCTAGAGCAGGGGGTGCTCATCGTGCAAGTTACATGCTCGACAGTGCTCTGGAAAGCTTGCTTCTTGAGTTGCGGTCAAAGGCAGCTTGTCGTCTTGGACTGCACCTTATCTTCCCCAAAACAACGGCTACACCAGAGAGCATCCGCCGCCGTGTTGGTGCATGTGAGACACCTGAATGATCATGTCAATGCCTAAATCGCTTTGAACCTGCAGCATGCAGCACCTGTGGCAGCCACACTGTCAATTGCCAGCGAAAAGCCCGTGTTCCACGTTCCCTGCATGCAGTTACATGGTTTGTTCTAATGCAAGGAGGTAGATGTTCCGGGTTCCAAGAGGCAATATTGATTATCGAAACATCCGACAGGTTGCCATTTTCTCGGCAATTTGCGAGAGATGTTCGCCCGCCTGATGGCACGCACATTGCAAGGTAGCAGTGCTACAGCAGTTTCAATGGTGTCGCAAGTGCTAACGTACCATTCGGTACATACATGCTTAAGTAGTTAAAACACAACAGGTACGCATAGACAGATGTGTTTGCTAGTTTAGCTATGAATAGAACATGTGTTCCGATATCCTAGCTGTGGAATCTTCAAATTTTCAAAAATAACACCGACAGAAGGTTAAGGTTCCGCCCAATCACACCCACGACCGACGAGGTCAGAGGCGTAGATAGATGCAGGTGCGAACACGTGGTTCGGAGCAGTTTCGACGGCGCGGGCAGCTCGTCCGGCGCTCGGCGCCCCGAGCCCTCGGCGGCGGCGTCTTGCGGAGAGAGAAGGCGTCCCGCCGGCTCCGCGGAGAGGGAGGCCGAACGGCGCCCTCAGCAGGGCCAGCCGCGCTCGTCCGTCATCGTGTCGATTTTGATTTGACAGTTCTGCTGTAGGCCTAATTCCGCCACGTCGCTCTCATGCGCGGCTGTGGCTCGCGCCGTTATCGTGTCGATTTTGACTTGAGAATACTTCTGTAGGCCTAATTCCGCCACGTCGCTCTCATGCGCGGCTGTGGCTCGCGCCGTTATCGTGTCGATTTTGACTTGAGAATACTTCTGTAGGCCTAATTCCGCCACGTCGCTCTCATGCGCGGCTGTGGCTCGCGCCGTTATCGTGTCGATTTTGATTTGAGAGTTCTGCTGTAGGCCTAATTCCGCCGCTTCGCTCTCAGACGCGGCTGGCTGTGAGGCGTGAGGGCCACCCTTGAGCCAGAGCTAAAAATCTCTACCTCTCTCGAACGGGTACAACAGTCTTTTTGTGTTTGTTCTTATTTTCCTTGTAAATCATTTAGGGACACACCTGTTCCTTGGCTGCGGCCCCGATGGCGGCCTTGCTGGACTTGATCTGAGCCTTGTCGGCGCCAGGCCCCTGCTCCTCTTCGAACTGCCTCTTGGCCTCCAGCATCCTCTCCTCCTCCCGAGCAGCCTCCAGCCTCTTCTCGTGAACCTGTGCCCAAACAAAAAATTTCGAGTTTCGAATAGAGTATGCATGCAGATGATAGGTGGCCCGATGTACATGTAGTGATGGCATGTACGGTCAAGAGGAGAACATGCCATTATTCAGGGCATTGCCACTTTTTTTATCAGGTTCATATGCATATATATGTTGAATGTGACAAGAGATTTAATGCCACTTTGCTATATTATATAGGCAGTTCCACTATTCGAGTTGCCAACTTATCGGGCCATCTACTGCTTTACGTACAAACTTCTACGAAGTGCGGTTGAAATATGTCGTCCCCAAAACTGAACGAAAAAAAATACCCAAACAAGCAGGACACACCCAACCTTCGTCTATCAAAAGCCTTTCTTTGTCGGCCTCTTATGAGCCTGCGCACAGCAGTTTGTTCATTTTTACAGTAATATAACATATGCATGACCTCACAGAAAGATTACCCATGCTGTTTCCATGTTACCAGTTTCAAATGCATGCCGGTTCGTATCGAAGTCGACCTCTGCTGCTGAACCTGTGTCAACGTTCATTACTATTTCTTTTTTAGGTTCGAATACATACATGTGTAGTGCGGTTGATATCGAAGACTTGCTTATCGGCCTCTGCTGCCCAACCTGGGTGTCCATGTTGTGTGTGTGTGCATGAATGTAGCTGTCTGTGTGCACCCCCCTCGTGGGTGAACAGCAACGACCCCGTCCACTTCCCTTCGCGAAAAGCAACGGTTCGCCTAAACCCGAAATCCCCCCTCCATCAGGTACAATTAATTCTACACGTGCATACATGCTGCCCACACACAACCTGGGCGCGGAATCCTAAATCTTTCACGTGAGGCAAACCCCACATCGACGACACCGACGACAACGACAAGAAACGCAGGCAACAACAACAACGACAACACCTACGATACCACCACCAACAACAACAGAAAACGCAGCCAACAACAACAACAACAACAACAACAACAACACAAAGGGCAACAAAAAACACACAATCCAAAATAGACGCTCACCTTCCGCGTGAACATGGCGTCCTCCGCCGCCTCTGTTCTCTCCCCCAGGATAACCGCCAGGTACTTGTGGAACGCCGCGGTAATTTCCTTCT